TTGTGGAGAAGCCCGTGTTCATCAAGACCAACCTGCCCGCCGCATTCTACGACTGCCCCGTGTGCCCGACGGCCCCCCCGAGTACGATGATAGCAGCACCGACGAGGAAGCAGCCTAAGCCTTGGATCAGAGTTTCGTATTCATTAAACCAGGTTCTAATTCCCCGGGTTTAATTGTATTAAAGAAAAAAACCCGATGCCTGCCGCTGGAAAAATCGTTTTTTAAAAATCCTTTATATTAAGTTCGCTTGCTTGCTTAGGACCGTGCAAATCTTTCGGTCGTTTTTTAACCCACTTCCCGTGATCCAATCGAGCTGACATTTTCCACACAGACTCGTTGTGCGTGACAATTAATGTTCGTGAAAATTTATTTCCAAAATTTTACACTTTTTAGGACAAAAATATATTTAATTACCAATTGCTTAATGGTGCAATGCAATTATCTGACCCATAGGTGGCAGCCATCTCAAGCCAGAGGACGAGAGGACTCTAGCTGCCACGCATATAAAGGATTTATCGTGAAAAACTTTGTTTTTACGGGTTATACTTATTTTCCACCCATGGTCTGGCGAGCTGGCCGCGTGGGCCTCGTGTGGAAGCATTGGTCAGCGCCGCCTTGGCTGGGTTACACGGGGCAATGTTACATTTCCATAATTGTTTCGATTTAAAGCTGTTCGTGACTGCGGGGATTCATATTCATGGTTCTTTCGGTAAAGTCACGTAGAAGGGAAATAGTAAAATAATACAAATAAACCAATTTTCTTGCTGTGGTGGTTTTCACACCTGATGATGATGATTGCTTGTGTTGCAATCGAAACGTCATGAGAATGTGATTGTTTTATTTTTGTTATTTTATAATTTCCATTATTGTGTTCGTGGCAAAGCTGTGGTAACTCACCCGCGTGACAAAACAACGATGGCTCCTTCGCAGCCACCGTTTCGTTGATTTCGTCTGTTGCTGCGTGGGGAGTTTCCAGGTAGCGATTAGAGCCGTCTGCGATTGGATCGATTTCGACCACGTGTGCAAGTGTGAGACCCGTGGACACGTGTTGTGTTTTAAATCCTTTATATTAAGTTCGCTTGCTTGCTTAGGACCGTGCAAATCTTTCGGTCGTTTTTTAACCCACTTCCCGTGATCCAATCGAGCTGACGTTTTGCACACAGACTCGTTGTGTGTGACAATTAATTTTCGTGAAAAAAAAATTTCCAAAATTTTACACTGTTTTTAGGGAATTAAAAAAAAAAAATTTTACCAATTGGTTAATGCTGGCACACAATCATCTGACCCATAGGTGGCAGCCATCTCAAGCCAGAGGACAAGAGGACTCTAGCCGCCCCGATGCCACGCATATTAAGGATTTATAGTGAAAAACTTTGTTTTTACGGGTTAATTTTTTACTCTCCAACACACAACCGGTCAGTGCTGAACGAGTAACGAATTGGTCACGTTCTGTTTACGTGACAAAACCCCTGACCGATTGGCTGTGTTGGGTGGTGGCGGGTTTAACGACACATTTATATTGACGCGATCTCACCCCAAAACATCTATGATGGTGCTTATCCTGGTTATGAGTACAGGAGTTGTATGGGGCCATTTTCAGGAAAGGATGTTTCCGTTTAAAATGCAACCCATAAGGTTTTGTTACGAATAATTAATCGGCACTCAAGTCAAGCAAATTTTTTTTTTAATCGCAAATCCCTGTGACGATTTCGCCTTGAACGGTGCTGTTTGTTGCTGGCGTTTTAAGGATCTGATAATTGTTTTTTTTACCCTTCTATCTGGCAACAAAACTGACACCTTTTTTTTACAAGGAGTCATGTTTGCATAGACCACAATGCCTGCAGCCATAATGCAAACAAAAAACATAACTCTGATAATATATGCACTGTCCTTGAAGTTGATTGGTCCACACCCGAGACAGCTTTCTTTAGAGCCTAGTCTCACATGGTGTTGGACCAGATGACGCCAAAAGACCTGTGGCTCGGTTGCCGTGATGTTTAAATATACACGGGTGACACGTCATTATGTTTAGTTTGAACAAACCACGTAGGGTTACCGAATTTATTTTAACCAATGTTTAACACGTAGAGGCTTTCTCGACCAATATCTGAGGTTTTTTGTTGGGTTAGATCGGGTAAATATGCGTCGTTAAACTCGCCACCATCCGACACGGACAATCATGAAGGGTTTGTCACGTAAACAAAACTTGCCAACTCGTTACTAGTTCAGCACTAACTGGTTTCGTGTTGGAGAGTAAAGCCCGCTGCAGCTGCAGCATATTTACAAATCGTTTCGAGAATTTTTTCGATTTAAAGCTTTCGTGACTGCAGGGATCCATCTTCTTGGTTCTTTCGGTAAAGTCACGTAGAAGGGAAGCAATAAAATAATAAAAATAAAACATAATAAAATAAAATAATATAATAATACGTGACTTTACCGAAAGAACCAAGAAGACGTTTCGAGAATTGTGAAGAAATCCTCCTCCTGTTTCGGTCTTAAATATTTTAACGAACGTTCGAACTGACTTACGTTAATGCGGGATAAAAGTTCGTCTTCGTTTCTATTCCTATTCCATTTTTTTTATCTTCACGTGAAAAGGAAGAATTTAAGACAAAATGTATGTTAATAATGATAATAGGTCTATTAACTTAAAAGTTACACAATTCAAATGTTGCAATGCCAGTGTTAACATAAATTAAACAACCCTACGTGATTTGTTCAAATTAATATAACAACCCTGTATATATACATTTGTGTTTTAAACTGCCCTTTAGCATTCGGCACATTAATATTTGTCTAAATCTTAATCGTCTGAATCTGGGAACTGCTGGGTTGTATTTATAAGAAGATGTTTTTTTGTTCTTTTCATTTTGTTGTTGGCAAAGCTTGTTGATGTTCACTTGGTAATTCGTCCCAAATGTTACACAGAATGAAATTAAAAGCCACGTTGCCATCGGCCGGGGTGATCACATTGCATCAACGTCACTGTGCGCCGTTTGTTTTCAAGCGCAGTGCCGGTTTGTGTGACGCCTTGTGAGACCGTGAATGCGTGCGCCTGTGTGCATGTGGTCCACTCGGCCTCAAATATCAGTATCTGGTGCGGTGCTCTGTAGTAAACATCGCCACTGGGGAGACAAAGGCGGTCGGGCGTGGAGCGGGCCACCCACCCCCCCCACGTTTGATCGATATCTTTGTTGTGTTAGCCTCAAACGAGTGCCTTGTGCAGTGGTGTGTAGTAAACATCGCCACTGGCGAGACAAAGGCGGTCGGGCGTGGTGCTGGCCACCCACCCCCTCGTGTGCCGTGTCGGCCTTCACAGGTGCTACTCGCTAACAGCACTCGCTCGTATCGTCTGTTATGGCTAAATGGGGGATCGCTATCTTTGTTGTGTTAGCCTCAAACGAGTGCCTTGTGCAGTGTGGTGTGTGTAGTAAGCATCGCCACTGGTGAGACAAAGGCGGTCGGGCGTGGTGCTGGCCACCCAAGCCCCTCGTGTGCCGTGCCGGCCTTCACAGGTGCTGCTATTCGTCTTCTTGGTTCTTTCGGTAAAGTCACGTAGAAGGGAAATAATAAATAATAATAAAATTAAACAATAAAATAATTCTCACGACGTTTCGGCCACAACGCAAGCAGCCGTCCTCAGGCGAAGAACAGGTGTTGTCGGAAAGACAGCGTCTGAATGAAACACCACCAGGCTTGGAGCGTATATTTAAGCTGGGTTGGAGGGGGAAGAGCGCCTTGACAAAATAATTTGCATATCACGTGGCATCTCTTCAGAAAGGTGAGAGACTCGATTAGCTGAGCCTTCATATCCCGGAGTTTGTTGAAAGATCCTAAAGTTTTGTGGAATCCCACCCCGTAGTGGCGGTTAAATTTCGATTCAAAGCTTTCGTGACTGCAGGGAATCATCTTCTTGGTTCTTTCGGTAAAGTCACGTAGAAGGAAAATAATAATAATAAAATAATTCTCACGACGTTTCTACTCGCTAACAGCACTCGCCCCCCACGATGTGTTGAGGCTTTAGCCAGGGTTCTTCGCCGTTTGGTTTGGGCAAGGAGTGGTGGAGTACGAAGCAGAGGTCGCAATTGGGTACCCGATACCCGTACCCTACCCGATACCCGGCTACCCGTACCCGGCCGGGTACGGGTACGGGTAGCCGTTTGCGACCCTGGTGCGGCCGGGTACGGGTAAGGAATCAAAACCCGTTTGCGACCTCTGGTGTGAAGTAAAATTCCGATGGCACATTTCCGCACGAGTGCGAAGATTTGTTAAAGCCTTGACGATGCACGCGGTCAAGTCGTGAGTTGCCGTGCCGACTTTTAAGATGATTGAATCCTCAGTCGCGTTGAGGTCTCCTATTCCCTACGGTTGTGTAGCCATGGCCACGGGTTTTTTTTAATTGTTACGTTATTACTGAATTCGATTGTTTTTTTGGCGCGAATAAAAGTCAATCCAGCCCGCTCGTTCTCTCCCTGCTGGCGTGTTCTGTGATTTCATCATCGGCGGGCCGATGCAATACGGTCATTCTGGAAGAAGAGGTTCTACATACAAACACATCTCCTTTCATTATCATCATCATTAAACCTCCTTTGCCAGTACCAAAATATAATAATATGGGGTTTCCCCCTTTTTTCTGGCAACAAAACTGGAACCTTTTTACGAGGATTCACGTCTGCATTAACCACAATACTTGCGGTCAAAATGCAAACAAAAAACACACTATGATAATATATTGACATTGTCCTTGAAACTGATTGGTCCACACCAAGGGACGGCTTTCTTTTGAGCCTCGACCCAATTGGTGCTCGACCAGTGGACGCCAAAAGGCGTACAGCTCAAAGACGACGCCACTATCAAAGTGTAATAAAGGACTCTTTCTCATATGTCGATCTCCGTTGTCCTTTATTGGGTTCGTAGAATCTCGTTACCACAGCGTCCTCGCTCAGGCCCGCGTCTCTCCCGACGATCCCACAGCCGCTAGCTCTCTGCGTCTGACACCGATGGCTGACGGTGTCGACGTCTCCCACCGCGTGGCAACCGCGCCACTCTCTCCGTCCTGCCCAGCGTGGCCTCCTCCCGTTTCACTCCATCTCCACTCCCCGTTCCCCTTCCGGTTCTCTCCCTAAATCCTCTCTCCCACGTGACCCTAACTCCTCCCTCTCCCCACGTGACCCAGGCTCCGCCCCCCTCAATCCTTGCTCGCATTACAAAAGTAACGAGGGCTCGGGGTGAGCATCTACATCATTAGACCTCCTTTGCCAGTACCAAAATATAATAACAGGGGTTTTCCAGTTTTTTTCTGTCAACAAAACTGAAAGCTCTGGTCGAGCTGGTCAAGGCTCAAAAGAAAGCGGTCCCTTGGTGTGAACCAATCAGTTTCAAGGCCAATGGCTATATATTATCATAGTGTGATTTCATCATCGGCGGGCCGATGCAATACGTCCAATGTGGACGAAGAAGTTCTACATACAAACACATCTCCTTTCATCATCATCTTCTCGACAGACCTGTTCTTCACCTGAGGACGGCTGCTTGCGTTGTGGCCGAAACGTCGTGAGAATTGTATTTTATTATGTTTTATTTCTATTATTTTATTATTTACATTCTAGGTGACTTTACCGAACGAACCAAGAAGATGAATCCCTGCAGTCAAGAAAGCTTTAAATCGAAATTTATCATAGTGTGTTTCTTGTTTGCATTTTGACCGCAAGTATTGTCGTTAATGGTTATTGCAGTGACACGAATCCTCGTAAAAAGGTTTCAGTTTTGTTGCCAGGAAAAATGGGAAAAGCCCCGATTATTACATCTTCTTTTGTGAATAGAAAATTAAAGACAAGCCACAGCGGAGTGATTGTGGTCACGCAAGCCAAACTGGACCGTGTCGCAAACACAGAGACACACACAGAGATACATTACAGACAAGCCACAGTTGTGTGATTGTGGCGATGTAACCCAGACCATAGGCCAATATAGTAAACCCATAGACACATGGAAATATAACACTGGTCAACACACTTTTTCTGGCATAAGGTATTCCAACGGTTGTAAGGTAATTTTGGGGTGCAGATTCCAAATCTGGCATCAGGCTTTGTCTATCACATCAGATATCAAATATTGCCGCCACCACCACCTCGTAGTATTCATCGCGTGCATCGCGGCTCTTGAAATATCGAGGGGTTGTTGGCCTTTTGTTGATACCGAATTCTTGTTGTTGTTGGTTGCTCCACCGCTGGACTGGAACGAGAGCCAGAGAGAGAGAGAGGGCGCGAACTTTGTCCCCCAACAAACGGAAGTTCTCAAGTTCCCACCAGAGGGCGATATTGGCGCACGCGTTAGGCACACCAACTCCTGCAAACTCAACAATGTGTGGTTTGCTGGTAGGAACCTCCTGGTTACACCAGCCCCACAGGGGATTATTGTGTCCGTCCGTCCGTCGTGCATCCAAAAATGGGAGGGGTGGGGCTGGGTGGAGAGGGGAGGGTGGGGAGGGGCTGGGTGGGGAGGGTGGGTGGGGAGGGGCTGGGTGGGGCTGGGTGGGGGGGTGGGGAGGGGCTGGGTGGGAAGGGTGGGGAGGGGCTGGGTGGGGAGGGTGGGGCTGGGTGGGGGGTGGGGAGGGGTGGGGCTGGGTGGAGAGGGGCTGGGTGGGGCTGGGTGGGGGGTGGGAGGGGTGGGGCTGGGTGGGGAGGGGCTGGGTGGGGAGGGTGGGGCTGGGTGGGGGGTAGGAGGGGTGGGGCTGGGTGGGGAGGGGCTGGGTGGGGAGGGAGGGGCTGGGTGGGGGGTAGGAGGGGTGGGGCCGGGTGGGGAGGGGCTGGTCACCCCGTGGTGCCCTTATAAAACTCAACGTTTAACCCACTCACGCCGGCTTGTGCCCGCCCTCACAGTCGGGCATATTTGCGGAATGCACCACGCCGCCGTTGACCCTGCAGGCCATTGACCGAGCAACCCGACGTTCCTACCAGCTCCTTCTGCAGCAGCACAATGTGTTCTACAAGGTAAACGCCCCACGAAGCTGTGTAGATCTGGCTGTCACAAATGATGGCTCAAACAAGTGGCTCCTCGTCATGTGGAATAGTAAGGGGCCGTCCAGCCGTCCATAAATGACGTCACGCACCTATGGGGGGGGGAGGGGGGTCAGACATTTGTGACGATGTGTGACGAGGGGGGAGGGGGTGAGAAATGTGACGTCACATCATAATGGGCAACTTTAACTAAATATAGAATTGTTATAACAACACTCCTACAATATCGGAGTGCAGCGCCACATTAAATACGCACTACAATGACAATAGTTTAAAGCGATTTGAAGCATGTTTTATTTTGGGGTGGGGAGGGGGGGCAGAGCTTTGTGACGTCATATTTGAGGGGGGGGGGGGTCTGACTTTTTATGGCGCTGTGTGACGAAGGTGGGGGGGGGGGGTCAAAAATCGTTCAAAATCGCGTGACGTCATTTATGGACGGTCCGTTACAGCTCATGGCATTCCTCTTCCAGTATATAAATATAGAATCTGACGTGTCGTCATCCTCCGCTGGATGCCGTGGGCGCCACGGTGGCTAGGAGATGTTAACTACCTCGCCTGGTGTACAGGAGGTCGTGGGTTCGATCCCGACCCTGACGATGCCTGCTGCTGTATATTTGGAGTTTGTGTCTCTCTCTCTCATCATCAACACGGTGGCTAGGAGATGTTAACTACCTCGCCTGGTGTACAGGAGGTCGTGGGTTTGATCACGACCCTGACGCCTGCTGTTTATTTTGAGTTTACACATCTCTTTCCTGCTGGGATAATAGTTACAATAATAATAATTTAAAAAATAGGTGCGTGACGTCATTTATGGACGGCCCCAAAAGCTCTTCGTCACAGCTGTGTGTAGTCGGGGCGGATATGAACGCGATATCAACTAACACTTGTTAGGTAATGGAGGTTTCGCGCGGTGCGGAGTCTAAAAGTCCACGGTCGGGTTCGCATTACAAAGTTAAAATGTTATAAATAGTAACCCGCAATATACTGGGTGGGTGTTGATGTCAGCACTTACACGAACTCTAATCGCCACTCGCAGGAAGTCTGGCTAATGGACAACTAAGTTAAATCTATTTTTATATATTGGGGATTTTTTTTTTAAATCCTTTATATTAAGTTCACTTGCTTGCTTGCTTGCGTGCTTGCGTGCTTGCTTGCTTACGACCGTGCAAATCTTTCGGTCGTTTTTTAACCCACTTCCCGTGATCCAATCGAGCTGACATTTTTGCACACAGACTCCGTTGTGCGTGACAATTTATTTTCGTGAACATTTTTTAGCAAAATTTTACACTTTTTAGGTAAAAAATGAATTAGATTTAATTACCAATTGCTTAATGGTGGCAGGCAATCATCTGACCCATAGGTGGCAGCCATCTCAAGCCAGAGGACGAGAGGACTCTAGCCGCCACGCATATAAAGGATTTAGAGTGAAAAACTTTGTTTTTACGGGTTAATTTTTACCAGCTAAGGCCCCGCTGGGCCTTTATCGTCGTCCCGTGGACATTTAGAGCAGCCCAAACACGCTAAAAGCGTAACGTTCATTCTAAACGTGGAGGGGAAAACCTGGAAGGACACGGGGAAAACCCACGCGACCACGAGGAGAGAGAGAGACACCGCAAACTCTAAACACACAGCAGGCGTCAGGGGGTCAGAATCGAACCCACGACCTCCTGTATACCAGGCGAGGTAGTTAACATATCCGAGCCACCGTGATGATGATGAGAGAGACACGCAGACGCCAAATATACAGCAGCAGGCAACGTCAGGGTCTGGATCGAACTCCACGACCTCCTGTACACCAGGCGAGGTAGTTAGCATCTCATAGCCACCGTGATTATGATGAGAGAGAGACACGCAGACGCCAAATATACAACAGCAGGCATCGTCAGGGTCGGGATCGAACCCACGACCTCCTGTACACCAGGCGAGGTAGTTAACATCTCCTAGCCACCGTGATTATGATGAGAGAGACACGCAGACGCCAAATATACAGCAGCAGGCATCGTCAGGGTGCGGATCGAACCCACGATCTCCTGTATACCAGGCGATGTAGTTAACATCTCCTAGCCACCGTGATGATGAGAGAGAGACACGCAAACTCCAAATATACAGCAGCAGGCATCGTCAGGGTCGGGATCGAACCCAAGTCCTCCTGTACACCAGGCGAGGTAGTTAACATCTCCTAGCCACCGTGATGATGATGAGAGAGAGAGACACGCAAACTCTAAATATACATCAACAGGCGTCAGGGTCGGGATCGAACCCACCTCCTCCTGCATACCAGGCGAGGTAGTTAACATCTTTAAGCCACCGTGATGATGAGAGAGAGACACGCAGACGCCAAATATACAGCAGGCATCGTCAGGGTGCGGATCGAACCCACGACCTCCTGCATACCAGGCGAGGTAGTTAACATCTCCTAGCCACCGTGATGATGAGAGACACGCAAACTCCAAATATACAGCAGGCATTGTCAGGGTGCGGATCGAACCCACGACCTCCTGCATACCAGGCGAGGTAGTTAACATCTCCTAGCCACCGTGATGATGATGAGAGTGAGACATGCATACGCCAAATCTACAGCAGCAGGCATCGTCAGGATCAGGATCGAACCCACGACCTCCTGCATACCAGGCGAGGTAGTTAACATACCATAGCCACCGTGATGATGATGAGAGAGAGAGAGACATGCAAACTCCAAATATACAGCAGCAGGCGTCAGGGTCGGGATCGAACCCACGACCTCCTGCATACCAGGCGAGGTAGTTAACATCTCCTAGCCACCGTGATGATGATTAGAGAGAGACATGCAAACTCCAAATATACAGCAGGCATCGTCAGGGTGCGGATCGAACCCACGACCTCCTGCATACCAGGCGAGGTAGTTAACATCTCCTAGCCACCGTGATGATGATAATGATGAGAGAGACACGCAAACTCCAAATATACAGCAGCAGGCATCGTCAGGGTCGGGATCGAACCCACGACCTCCTG